AAAAAAAAAAAAAAAAAAAAAAACACCACTGTTTCGTGGTCTGGCCATTCACAGTTGCAGGGCCAAATGACCAGCAGGTGCAGGGCCACATGACCGGCCCGGATCAAGTGACAGGACATATTCACGGTGACGGCACTGGTGGCGAGGCCCTCAACTAGGGGACTAGTTGCACTACCGCCATAGGCCAAGTTTGGCGAGTAGGTGCCTGGTTGCACTTGCTTGCCAAACTTGGCCAATGCAAAATGTTTCAGACGGCTCGCCACACCGTGGACACAACTTGTGAAGAGTGAATTCAGTTTCCCCGCCTGTGCACGGCGGTTTGTGGAGGGTGGTCTTCGGACCTTGCCACAATACAGCTTTCTGGAGAGTGCAGGGCTTCGCGAGTAGACATGGGGGGGATAATTTTTTTTAACGTTTCTGTGGAAGAAATCTTGTGGCGAGTTCGTGCAACCAGGCCTCAAGTTCGACATGATTCTCATATTTTTCACTCTCCACGGATCCTCCACGAAATGTGACGGATGGTGAGTAGTGCAACTAGGCCCTAGGTTACAGAAACGCCGCCAGAAACACACATAAGAGGCCAGGGACCACACAATTCAACCCAGTTTTCAGTCTCGAGTCCATAGCCAGACCAACCATGCTGAGGGCATACTCACACTACCAGGTCTTTTCGCAAAATAGCAAATTTTATGTGGTTTTCCAGGTCACACCAGGCACGTATTTTGCGTGTCCACACAAATGGGCACGTAAATGTCAGTGGCCTGGACAGCCGCGGGCTTACATATTTTGTGGGGACCTCCGGAGGAAAACGAAATGCGATTTTGTGGGGACCTCTTTTGGAAGCAAAAGAAATAAATTGAAGTCCATCGTGTTGTCTGACTGCACACAACATATTTTCGCATCTCAAGGCCAGGTACCGACCCTGTCCTTTCTGCTTCGGGCAACAAACGGGTGAGCAGTGTGACCCGCAGGTGCCATATTAACGCAAATTCACATACGTAAAATTTGCAGAAGTACGTGCTAGTGTGAGTATGCCCTGAAACGTAACCTGGCATCAACGCACACACTACTTCTGGAGCGAAAGCAACAGACGACCACTCATTCACATCCGACCCCCCTGACTCTACCGCGGGTCCCCAGGTCTAAAACACTCCCCCCAGGCCGTATGAACCACCTCGTGACCAGGTTGCTTCCCTTCCGGCCAAGCTGGTGGAAGCATTTCCAGTTTTCTACAGTACCTTCCCCCCCGGGCCGTACTCTGTTACGGTTACTCCGTTCCCTCGCCCCTCCCCGTGAGGCTGCGACCTGACGTCCGTGCCTCGTTGATAGGTTGCATGCGAAGCCGCAGTCTATCCCTGCCAGTAGAAATAATGCACGGCCTGACGCAGAGAAGCCTTGGCTATTTTATACTGGAATGCTTTTGTATCGACGAAGAACTTATCTCTGCCACTTGTCATGCCCAGTTTCCCGCAGCAGGGAGCTGAGGCGTAATCTTTCTACGTCACAGTGACCAGCCGCATTACAGTCGGACCATGATCAACGGCCCGGCGGGGAAGGACGTTCATTCCTCAACAAACTGCGGCCGGCAAGAACTAGGATTCCTCATTAATCAGCTCGTGTCAACAATCTTTTTCTTTTTTTTTTTGACAAACAGGTTACTTCCACTCCCTGGTGCGTCGCAATCAAGGCTCGTTGGCCAGTTTTGCAATTAACGGCTCAGGGCAAAACAGCCCCTCAGCTCGTTTATCGCTACCATGTGTGCACCATTGGCAGCGGGTTGTCTCGGGATTGTGCATGCTGATGTGATTTGATGTGGTGACTTGTCCCCCATTCCCGCCAGCTCATACGTAATAAAGCTCCCCTGCGTACGTGGGTTTTCCCCGTTCCTTCTCATTTTCGTAGACTTCTTTTTTTCCCCGTCCCTGTACTAGTGTAATGACGCCTAGCTGTTTGATGAAGACGATACGTTTTTGCAAGAGGAGGAATCTCCGTGCGGCATTCTGTGACATCAGAAGCAGACACATGCGCTTCCTCTTGGTGCGCGTATTCCTCTTCTCGTTTTTCCTGATCTTAGCTGCCATGCTCCGCAGCTACAGTCCCTTCGAGGGACTGTCCCGCAGATTCTCGTCGTTGGCTGTGATTTCGAATTCCGATGCGCACGTGGTTGGGCGCCTTCTGCAGGCGCCCACATCGGCAGCCTCGCCATCTCTTCCGGTGGTATCCCCGTACGAAGGCGAATGGGGACTTGAACCGGGATTCTTGATCAACAGCTCGGTACAGGTCGTTGCTTCACATCCATCCCCGGCAGAGGATTGTAAGTCTGTAATCGCGAACCTGGTGGTTTCGCCTCAGAAAGGGCTGTGCAACGTCCTCGAGCAGACCTGCTCAAACGGCAGCTCAAACAGCAGCGTTACGTCGATCAGAAAATCCAACTTATCGAGGGCAACCCAGGGACCGGACTTGGCGGATGACGAATCAACATTATTAACCTACTTGTGGTCTTACGAAGAGCGGAACGGGTCGAGAATTGCAGAACGACCGGATTCGACGGCTTCCGTGATGGGGATGGCCCTTTCTAAAGATCGTTCAAATCTCATCTTGAGCATATACTACTCTTCCCCCGACCTTTCCGAAGATTCTGACGCTTCCGACCCCTTCAATGGCACCATCACGTCCTTGTCTGTTTCTGACTCCTCCCGTCTTTCTTCCTCCGCGTTTTCCTTTGGGTTTATTAACAAAATCTGTTTGGACCCTTCCGGGCCTTCCGGGGAGCGTCTGGTTTATAATAGGCTCTCTGACGGTGGACTCGAATATGTTCGTGTCGATAGCTCGGGACTTCCGTTGGATGTACCATTAGAATTAGACAGCGATTCGAAATCTATAGACAGGGATTTGGAGTCCCCGTTTAGATTCATAAATGGAAGTTACAGTGGTGAGGCCATATTCCAATCTCAAAGCTTTGTGAACAATTGCCTTTATTTTTTGCAGACAAATGGGATGCAGCTGTCCGGGTTTCACCCGTTCATCGAGGGGAGCCGACCCATAGCGGTATCCTACTATCCTGGCCCACCAAAACGTTGGGATGATGTTGTCGTCACTCGAGACGGGTGTCACCTCTTTTTCACCGTATGGGATACTCTGTTTAGCATGGACATCCGCACACAATGCTATCAGCTAGTAGATAAATTCTTTAGAGAGATGGAGTACCCATCGGGTACGTTTGCGGGATTGGCATTGATGGAGAATGAAGTGGGGGAGGACGCATACTTGTACTTGGGCTCTGAGGATGGGAAACTTTTTGAAGTGCAGTTGAACAGGTCGGGCAGAGGCTGTGTATTAGAAGCGGAACCTGCCGTAGAATCAAAACAAAGCAATCCCACTGTTCTGGTAACGGCTGTGGTGGCTGGCACAGCGGTCGCCATCGTAATCATTGCCAGCTTGATTTGCATATGGCGGAGAGCGCGCCGCCGACCAGCTGGTCCGGAACGTGCCCTGGAAGTCGGTGAGCAAGCGACTTCATCTTTACCAGAAGATGAGGCGTTGGACGCGTGGGGAATTAAGCCGTCGCGGGTCAAGCAGTTCGCTTTCAGAGTCCTGTCAGAATGTACGGACAAATTCAGCGAGGATCGAAGAATTGGGGAGAAGGGAGCGCTCGGGAAGGTTTACAGGGGCTCTGTGGACGGCAAGGAGGTCGCGGTAAAGGTGATGACGGGCGAGCTAACGGACATCAAACGGAGCCAGTTTGTGGCCGAAGTGAACACGCTCTGCCGGCTCAATCATGCTAATCTCGTACAACTAGTCGGGTACTGCCTCGCGGGCGATCACTGCATCTTGGTGTACCCGTTCTTCAGAGGAGGCAGCCTGCACGGGCGGCTGTTCCCCAAGGCCATCACTGGGAAGGATGCAAAAGCGCCGGACGCGGACCAAATTGTCGAGGATCCATCCCCTCCGCTGACGCTTCTGGAGCGCATGAGCATCGCCTTCCAGGTTGCCAAGGGGCTCGGCTACCTTCACGACGCCGCCAGGCGCCCGATCATCCATCGGGACGTCAAGAGCAGCAACATTCTGCTCGGCGAGGGATCTGGCAAGAAGCTTCACGTCGTCGTAGCGGATTTCGGATTAGCAGCCATCGGCGAGAGGGTGTTAGACACAGGACATGACCACGTCGTGATGACCTCTCACATCGGCGGCACTTTCGGGCATATGTCGCCCGAGTACATGCTAAGAGGAGAGCTGTCCGAAAAGAACGATGTGTACTCTTACGGGGTACTCGTTCTGGAGCTGTTGACGGGCAGGAAGGTGGTCGGGCCGGCTCCTTCCGGGTTCGGATGGCAGACTCTCGTCGAGTGGGTGAAGCCTTTCCTTCGAGGGGCAGTCGTCCAGAACGGGAGCATGGAGATGCCGTACCCGATACTCGATCGGTGCTTGTGGGATCAGGTGGCTGAGGAGTCCATGAAGAAGATGGTGATGAGCGCATTCGGACTGGCTTGGGAATGCGTGGAAGAGGAGTATGGGTCCAGACCAGCCATGAGAGAAATCATTGAGCGCATTCACAGTATGTTCCTGGAAGTGGGTTGGGATGGCCTGACGGTGATGATGGTGGACCTAGAAAACGTTGTGGATGACGATGCGGTAACCGCTACAGTAGGTCTCAAGGAATGATGAAGGTATGTTGAAAGCGGATTTAAGCAGGTTTCCTGAGCAGGCCCGCTGTTGAGGACTGCCGTTCTCTCTCTCTCTCTCTCTCTCTCTCTCTCTCTCTCTCTCTCTCTCTCTCTCTCTCTCTCTCTCTCTCTCTCTATATATATATAGATATATATATTTTTATATATATATATATATATATCTCTATCTATCTATCTATGTATCTATCTACACCAGACACACACACACACACACACACACAAACTCGAACAGGCACGCACAAAAGCACACGCTCGCGCGCGCTTGATTGTGGCATCAGTAATGCAGATCAATAGCTAGTACAATATCTCCGCTCAACAGTCCAACAAATTACTCCTGAGCTTTCTCAAAATAGAAGGAAGGTAAAAAAAGAGTGGAAGCCATGCTTGGAATCTCAGGGAACGATGGCCTGTTCTGGAAGTTGTAATCCTTAACACCACATGATGTTCTGGTTTGGAGTTCTAACTGCTGTTGACGTTTGTTTCGGTTTAGAAACGACGTACACGTCCTCTGTGCGACAGGCCATGATAGGATAAAGGTATCGAGCATACATTTAAAAAAATAAAACTAAAAATAAAAATCATTACACTGTAATTGGATCATTCTGTCGTTCCGTCAGAGTACAGTACCAACGGGCCTACGAGCGTGACCTGGAGCCACCTGTGCTCGTCTCGTCTCTTGTTTCTTTGATTTTGTGTGTGTGTGTTGGAGAGAGAGAGAGAGAGAGAGAGAGAGAGAGAGAGAGGGGCGGGATGGGCTGTTCCCCGAAATGGGGGATGGGCCGTTGTAGGACTATATTTTGAACGGGGCCTGTAAACGGCAAATGGGCGCCTTAACACTGACCTATGAGGGGAGGGATGGGACAGGGGGGTGTGGACCCGGCGCCCTACCCATGTGATGTTTGAAAAAAATAAATTAAAAGGGTGATGATGGTGATGGTGGTCATGATGACTACTATACTGCTGATGTTGAAAATATGTACGTGTGTGCGTGTGTGTCTGTGTGTGTGTGTGTGTGTTTGTGCGCGCGCGTGCGCGCGCGCGCGAGAGAGAGAGAGAGAGAGAGAGAGAGAGAGAGAGAGAGAGAGAGAGAGAGAGAGGGCGTCATCATCTAATTAGTGGATTCCCCACTGTCAAAAGAAAGGGAAAGAAGAAGAAATGTTGACGTAGCCAAATGGCTCGTGATTTAATTTTAATTATTCATGGGCATTAACGGATTCACGAAATTGCCACTGTTTTCTATTTTTTCCCTTCTTTTTCGTGGGAATTTGCAATCTACCCACAAAAGAGGAGATATATACGAAAATGTCCCTTAAAGATTTGGGTAGAGCAGAATGTCCTTTTGGCCCGAATTCCTTGTGATGATGCCATTGTCAGGCCAGTTCTCAAATTTGCAATCTGAACCTTTTGGCCAAAAGGACATTCTGATCTTCACCAAATCTTTAAGGGACATTTTCGTATATATCTCCTCCTTTGGGGGTACATCGCAAATTGGGATAATCGGTAGAAGGCGCCCACGCCAAAACCTCTTCGGTTTTGGGCGCCCAAAGTTTAGCCGTTTAATGACTTGCGTCTGGGGTACTTCAGGCCCACGCGTTGCTCCGAGGGTCGTACCGGATCATGAATCTGGTACATAACAGGGCCAGATTCATTTTGATGTATTAGAGGCCGGGGTTGGTAACGCTGAAGTATCGAATGAGGCCCGCTTACGCAATTTTGGAAAAGAAGGGCCCTACCGGTTCATGAATCTGGCGCAGAAACAGCGCCAAATTCTTCTGCACCAGATTCTTGAACCGGTAAAAACAGGCCCAGGGAGATCTGGCCACGGCGCAAAGGCGCCTTTCACCCAGGCGAAAGTTGTTTGGGCGGCCAAAACAGCCAAAACCGACCGAAAAGGTTTTGGCGTGGGCTCTTTCTACCAATTATCCCTTTTCTGACGCCGCGTACCGCGGCTGCCACTTTGCGGCATACCTAGCACGGCAATCTGGCTCCCAAATTCGGACATGCAAACCCGTTTACGCACAGACACAAACATGCCTGCAAGGCTGCATCTCTCTCTCTCTCTCTCTCTCTCTCTCTCTCTCTCTCTCACACACACACACACACACACACGCACACACGCACGCACGCACGCACATGCACGCATGCACGTACACACGCGCACATGACGGCGACTCTCTCTCTTTCACACACACACAAAAGAGCATCCACATACACATAAATGCCGGCCATTCATCTCTCTCTCTCTCCCTCTCTTTCTCTCTCTCTCTCCCCGTCACTCCTCTCCTCCTCTCCCTCCCTCCCTTCCTTTCTTTCTTTCTTTCTTTCTCTCTCTTTATCTTCGCGCGTGTGTTTTGCAAGTCTCCTGATACAAAAGAGATTTCGAAACAGTCTGAATGTATCCGGTCCAGTTACGGCTCCGGTCCTCGAGATACATTTAGACTGTTTCAAGGTTGAATCCATCGGGGCGGCCACAGGGAAGGAGGGAGGGAGGGAGGGAGGGAGGGAGGGAACGAGGGAAGGGGGGGAGAGGCGCGCGCGCGT